TTGAAATCTCTCTGCCTTTAGAAAACAAACATGATCTTGATCTTTCTTCTTAGCCAATTCAGTTTTAATTCATTTTTGTCCAAGTTTGTTGGTTTTTTGCTGTTTTTGTTTTCATTCTTAGCCTTCTTATGTCCTTCTGGTAAGACAGCAGTTGAATAAGCAACATTAATATTAATGTATTCCAATTTACAATGAAAGATGTCCTATCAAGTGTACAAGTCTCCTTCCCATATCTTGCCATAAGTTGCAACACATCCACTTGACTCAAAAATAAGTCCCATTAAAATAATTTATGAATATTAAAACATTATTAATATTTTTTTGTATCTTAAGCATGTTATCTGACAAATCCAAATCTCAAAACAGTCTGTTTTGAGAGTCATATCAGAATGATCGCAGATACTTTCTAATGTACTGATTCTTCACTTCAGTGTTGAAGCTGTGGCATCTGTTTATTTAAAATAAATATTGAGTCCCTTCATAGTCTGTGGTATAACTGTTTCTAAACTGCAGCTTCTAGCTAGTAGGATTATTTCAGAACTACTGTGCCTCTCAGCCTGTATTTATTGTCATGGTTATTGTTATGGAATAGGTATGATTTTCATGGTCTGATTTATGAGATCAGCATTGCTTTTCATGTGTGCAGTAACCTACGAAATGATTTACTTCTGTGATACGTGGTAAATTCTGAATCCTTCAAACTTCCATGTGCATATACTTCATCCTGACTTTATACAGATTATTAGTCTTAATGGTGAAACATTATATAATTAATTGTATAAAATTAGTGCTTAAAATGTCTTCTAGAATAAGTCACTTTTCCTGCTTTCCACCTTTTATGTCTTGACTCTAGCAAATTCAATGGCATTCTCAGATATCCTGATAACCACTAAAAATTATAAATATTATAAAGTTATAAACAGTTACATATTAGGGTCCTGATGCCTTAATGAAGTTCTGATATTTACTGTGTGACTTTTATTTGTCCCCTAAGACACCAATGGTCAATTCTCAGTGTAGAAGGAAGAAGAAAATATTTGGCTAATAGTTTCCATTTTGACAAGTTGAAAATATATCGGTGCTATAACCTAGAACATTTTTTGACAAGCTTATCTTCTTCACACGTGTTGGATGATAATTTATATTATTCACATTCTTAGTGTTGATTGGGAATTCTGAAGGTTGTAACCAATAAGGCTTGAAGGAATCAGACTGGGATGGCACAGAGCAGAGAATTCATAGAGAAAAGCAAACTAGGTTCAAGTTGGGCAATTGAGAGCGTACTTAGTTCCCATCATAGACGGTCATCTGTTTCTTCAGAGATAGGCTATGGACAGTTATATAGTAGAAAGTTTTTGAACTGACACTGGAATCAATTCTTTCTTATTTCTTCCTTATATCTCTTTCTCAAATGTACACAAACATAGACAAACAGACACACAGACACACTTTCTTTCTAGATGAATCTTTTTCCTAGTCAAACTTGCTTTTCAAACCAATATGAGTTTTCATACTTTAGTTGTTCAAATCTATTTGGAGGTTTAATTTCTGGTTGACTGAAGTGCCATCCTGTTGCAAGCACTTTGCTGTAACATGTAACATTTCTTTCTTTCTTTCCTTCCTTTCTTCCTTCCTTCCTTCCTTCTCCATGCTTCAAAAGATTTGTCTCATTATTTCTGTCTCATGCACAAGAGTGTGATACAGAATAGAAGTGCAAATAGTTAAAAAAGGGAGAGTCGATGAATACTGATTTAAAAATGCAGAAATTGCTATATTGACATCCAGGTATTGTACAACAAATAACATGGCTAACTGCAATGTAGGCATCAGAAGGACAGGAGAGTTCCTACATGGGAAAAGGCCCAAAAATGTTTTGAGTCTCTTATTATCACCAAACAGTATCATTAAAGATAAAGGTTCCCCTCGCACATATGTGCTATTCATTCCTGAGGGGGTGGTGCTCATCTCCATTTCAAAGCTGAAGAGTCAGCGCTGTTCAAAGACGTCTCCATGGCATGACTAAATGCCAAAGACTCATGGAACGCTGTTACCTTCCCACCAAAGGTGGTTACTATTTTTTCTACTTCCATTTTTACATGCTTTCAAACTGCTAGGTTGCCAGAAGAACAGTATCATTACTTATACCATTATATCCTGTTGATTAAGTCCAAATCCCAAAATCACTGCATGTGCTTTCTTATGCACTTCAGTCAAGTTGTCATACAAAAGGAATGGCCAAATTATGTTGTTGCCCTTTTCCTACCCCTTTTCCTACCCCTTTTCCATGTGGTTTCTGGATTGTTCTATTCATTGCGAAAACATGTAGTGGAAAGAAGGAATAAGTGAGATGAAGTCCAATTATTTAAGTTGTATTATGCTAATAAAAACGGAGCAGGACTGTTGAAAATCATTGCCTATCCCCATTAAAAAGCAAAAGGGACTTCAAAAGTACTGGTGGGTTTCTAACCATTTACTACTGCTTTGCTTGTGCTCATGTGCGACATTTCTACGCATGCACAGAAGTGTCTGGGTGGGTGGGCAGAGCCTCCTGCCACCACCACTACTGGTTCAGCAACCCATCTCTGTTCAGAAACCTCAGAACTATAGAGATACTGTGTATGTCTAAATATAAAATGAACAGTGAAAAAATTAAGTAATTTAAACAGAATAAAGTCCCTAGGGAGTGGGCGGCATACAAATTCCATTAAAGTTTGAAAGTTTGAAGCATTAAAACTATTTCATTTAATCAGAACTTCCACTAATATGCAGCTAACTTCCATTATTATGCAGGTAACGGGGGGGGGGGATCTGAAGACCTAGTTTGAGTTGTTTTTAGAGGAAAGTGTTTATATGAAACATTTAAACATACTTTACCAACTAAATATATTTAATGCACAGAGCATAATTTGATTAATGGCTGTTGGCCATGAAAAGAGAACTTCACGTTCAGAAGTGCTGTACATCTGAAAACAAGTTGATGTGATTAAAAAAAACAATTAAGGGAATGCTGCTTTGATGCCATGCTTCTGGGAAGTATCTGAGTAAAGAGACCTTTGTTTTTATCAAACAGAAGTCTTCTTATGTTCTTAATTAACACAACTTCCATGTGTTTAGTTCATAATTTTTAACAATACATTGTAACATATTTTGCTCTCTGCTTATGTTAGATTATAATGTGCTGGACTGTAGCTGCCGCATGTGTGAAGCCAATTTTAATATTTATTCACTCAGCAGGAAGAACACATGCTGTGGTTTCTTAATGTACACTTTAACCACTGTACTATTGAGTGCGGTATACTAGCAGTAATAATTCATAGTGAGTCTCTTCATGCCATTACTGCTTAGGATCTTCTTTTGTGTGTGTGGTTTCAGGGTTCTAGTCACCTTGATTATACATTTCCTTACTTTGAAACTTTCATTTTTTAGATGCTGCAAACATGATATTACCAAATGAAACCCAGCATTAAGGCCAAATTTGTGATGTGGTTTCTGATGTCTTTGCGCTTCACTGGGTCTCTGAGGACATCACCAATAAATGTGAAAGAAGCTAACAATAGATTGGCATACTTTTCTATTTCCACTAGAATAGAGGAAGAAATACACTAAATTAAGTCTAACCTTAAATGTATAATCTGTCCTTGTGAAACAGAAAAAATAGGATACAGCATCTTGGAGCTCTCAGCATCCCTTATGAGGAAAAAAATGGTTCTAAGGGTCTCTGATCTTGTGTTTTAGTAAAATAGAACTGCACGGCTGACTGACAGTTCTGATCTAAAGCATTTACATTTAAGTTTTGATCTCTCTGCTTTTGATTAAAACTAATGAGCTCATTTAATTCAAAATGGGAATCTCTGATAAGAGAAATAAGGTTGATGTGATTGGATTAGAGGGGCAAATTAAACTCTTAGAGCAGAAGTTTGTGCTTATATAGTGTATTAAAAAGCTGTTGGCGTATTATGGCATGTTAGATGATGAGAAAAATTTCATAGTAATTCATATTTAATCAGAAGAAATGAAAGTACTAAATATAACATGGCTCTGCTTTTCCCTCGAGTGATAAACAGCTGTACATTTAAAATGACATGGAATTCATGCTCTCTTTAAAAAACAGTCTTGAGACACACTGAAGAAAAACAGCATTATTGTCAGTGGGCTAATCACAGCAGAGTAGAAATCCAAAGTAAAATGGCTATAGGAAAGTAAATATATGCAAGTTAATATCAATAGCCTAACCCTTTTCAAATAAAGGGGAAAAACCTTGGTTGATAAAAGCAGGCTTTAAATTTGATGAAAACTCCTTGACTGGTGTCCTTTAAACTGCTTAAACTGAAATGTTTTCTTGCCAATATATTCGTAGAGGTTTGCTTCTCAATTAAATGTCTTGCACAACAAAAGTGTGCTTGCATTTGATAGGAAAATAAAAGCACTCGAGTACGTGACCTTTTTACTCATGTTTAGGTGGACGAATGTTACAATTATCTCTTCCCTACTCTCAGATAAAAGCCAGCTCCAATTTGACGGAAAGAGCAAGGGGAGACGGAAACTTCCAATTGAACCGAGAAAACAACAATTTATTGTTTGAAAATTGGCCGTAATATATGGACTGGTGGTTTTCGTGGGAGCATTGAGGAAGGCCACATTGAATTGACAAAAATTTTGGGATAGTTTCAGAAAAATAAATAGGCTCCTTTCCTAATATCAGCTTGTTTTCTTTCAAGTTTTTTTCTGCTGTAGAATTTTGCTTGCAGTGTTATGAGAAGGCTATGAATTTTCATCCAAAGCAGTTTGGCTTTTTCCCTATTTCAATCATAAGTAGGGTGAAAGAGAGATTATTTATTTTATTGTTAAGTCTACAACTTCTGTACTGCTCAATTTTTTAAAAAATATCTTCCATATCTTGCATTTGGTCTTAGGTTACCTCAATGGCTGCGCCTATGACATTCAGGAGAGCTCTCTAAAAGTTAAATGATCAATAAATTATTTTGTTATGTCTATTTTAGTGGAAACTACAAGCCCAAGCCTACTTTCAACTGACAACAATCTAGAGCGTTCTTTTTTCATTCGGATGAAATCAACACTGACCAAGCGAGGTGTACACATAAAATCTTCAGGATATAAGGTAAACTTTTGTTTTGTCTTCCTGAATATTGTTAGATGTTCTCCCTCTTTTTAAAAAGATATATGATAAATTGTAGCAGATCCCAGAATCTGCTCTCCAGAGCTTCATAACAGTTGAGCTGGATAGTTTTACAAAGAGAAAGTTAAAGGCCATAGATGATATTTTTGAAGTATATCCATCAGGTATCATAGCAAGGTTAAAAAATCAGCAGCATTCTGGGGCAGCCCCTAAAAATTCTTCATGTTGAACGAAATAATTGAAAGCCTCATTTAACACAACAGGAGATGCTTCTTAGGAAGCATAAATTCCATGGATTTAATGAGAAGAATGCTGTATTGGGAGTTTACAACTGTTTTTCTATCACTGCCAATGAATTGGGAGAAATGTTTTATATCACAAATTATTGTCACTAGAAGAATTTTCAATTTTCTTTATATATAATCCTGAATACTCCTGAATCCTGAACAAGACTGACTTTGAGCTGTTGGCAATTCTGATCAACATTCATTTTTTCAACATTCTTCACAGATGTGATCTCTGGATATATAGGTTTTTTTATTTTATTTTTCTTGCTTTAACTTTCTTTGTGATTAATAATCTCAACTTTCACTTTCAGTCCTTCACTTAATTTCCTGTTTGTCCTGCTGTATCCTGCTTCCTCTTGTTTTACAAGAGATAAAGATTTGCCAATGCACTCAGAATATAGCATTCCTGTTTCATGCCACCCCGACCCACATTGTTTGAGTTGAGTGACCTTATAATTCAGTTGAATATGTAGATAAATAAATAAATACTTTTTTCATGCTTTACACAACCACCTATTACCTATTTAAGCAATCCATTCTGTTATTGCTTTTCTTGTTATTTTGGTTATGTTGCAGAACACCGACTCTAAAATAACAAGCCTTCTCAAAGTTACTGTATTTAGGAACAATCAGACTTTGAAAATAGTACAACCTGATATGGCTTACTGTTATTCTGGATGCATTTCAGATCAGAGCAAATACAAAACCGAATTTCTGTGCCAGGATCTTGAGAATATGAAAATCACAAATTCTTCCTTTGGTTATATAGCTTGTGCTTATTTCTATTAGATTTAAGACAACTTGACTTGATCTTTGATGGAGATGATAGAATAACTCTTCAAAATAAAACATTTCTATTATGCATAATATGTGCAATGGTTTTATAATACTGAGAACAAACTTCCAGGCCGTATTTATAGCTTTTATCAATCCTATGTCAACGCTAAAGGCTACAGAAATATAACTTGTAGAATATACTAACAATATCTTGAAAGCCTACCAGGGCTTTCCTCTGACCTCCCTTATGTGAAACAGGATCAAGATGGGATTATACTCTTTCTCATGCCTATTCCTTTCCCAGTTTAGAGCTGTTGTTTGCTCTTTCTTAATGTCCTCCTTAAATGGCTCTTATATGCTTTGGTCAAGACTATCTTTGCACACCTCTATACATTTGGTGTTGATTCTCCACTGTGGAATAAAGGAAAGGAACTAAGTTATTACAAAATAAAAATATATAAAGAAGAATATGCTAATGCAGGGAAACCTAGAAAATGCTGGAAAAATAAGATTTTCCAGTTTTAGAAAAAATTAAGGCAATAATTTTTGTGAAGAAGAAATATCTTAGGAAAATGTTTGTTCTGGAATATCTTTTGGATATAAATGTAAATGATACTTTTGAACATTTTTTAAGAAATTATTTTTTAAAAGATTCAATGCTTTGGCTCTAATGCTGAACTCAGTATGCTTTCATGTGGTGCAAAACATACAATATAATGTCATTTTTTGTAGGCAAATTCTAAGCTTCATAATAAAATATTTAATTACTCTATACAAATTTAAGATAAGAGAGTTTGTGTCTGGTCACTAATAGCAGGGCATAGTTTTTTTACATAGGGCCAACCGTAGGGAATAGAGAGAAATGACAACACCAAGTTAATATTGGGATAAAAACAGAGATGGGTTTCTCCCAGTTCAGCCCGGATTAGGAGAACTGGTAGTAGAGGCGGTGGGAGGCTATGCCCACCTGCCTGGACGCTTCTGTACATGAGCAGGTGTCACATGCACAAGTGCGTACATGCACAAAAGCAAACCAGTAGTAAACAAAATGGAAACCCACCACTGGATAAAAAGTTTGAAAAAGACTTGAATGTTTGAGTGGAATAGTGGTTAATGTCTAGGACTAACGCTCCTTGAGTTTCCAGATGAATAGCAAGAAATAAATCTGATAAATAAGAATAAATGTACGTACACAACTTGAACTATTGTTGACTGTGTAATCAACTCTCAATCCAGAATTTCAGCCGATGCTAAAATCTTTCTATGAAGTGACCAGATAAATTGTTTTACTACTGACTCTTTTGAGTAACATGTACATCTGCTTTTATATTCTCAACATCAACTTACATATAACCTCGGGCATTTTTGAGGGAACGTTCTTAAGAGAGAAATTGGTTACAGTGATGCAGAGATTGTCTGGTGTTCAGATGGGAATAGAAAACGTCTTGCAAAGTTTAGTCGTTATAAAGGCAGCCTATTGGGAAAAACTAAGGAGGCTTTATTCAAAACAATTATCTATAATATAAAAGGTCTCAATATATAGATCTGCACTGAAGTTTTCACAAAGTTTAGTGAAGATCTATATATTTAGACCTTATATATTATGGATATGTATTAAAGGGGTTCCTAAGTGAGGTTAGGTTATTATTTATTTATGTTATACTGTATAGAAGTTAACTTTCTCTCAGTCAGAAGGTGAAGAATTCAGTTTGTAAGAACTTCTCATTCCTCATATTTGGATGATCTCAGAAATGTGAATATTTAAGCATCATCTTTATCTTCTTAATAGCCATTTTTATCACAGCATTTAGGCATATCATATTCTTTGGGGAATTTAATTCAATGCAATAAACTGAGATAAAAAATAATATGCAAACATTTAATTACTGCAATGCATCCAAAGTATTTGTAATGAACATTGAAAAATGATGGATATATTTCCTCTAATCAACCTCCTTGCACTAAAATAATCTTGAAATAGGTATAAATTAAAAAATTGAAAAATCTTTATATCTCCAATAATGTTTTCACCAAAAATAAATTTGGTACACACCCAATTTAATGGCTCTATTGCTATTCTGCCAAGACTATCTTACATTATGGACTATAGAATGAGGTAATCACAGTTCTCCTAAAAACTTTAATCAATCAGTCAAATAATCAATCAATTGATAATCCAATCAACCTGCTTAATTAAATCACTCACTTGGTGTTACACTAAGAATATACATGAATTGCATTATTCAATTGCAGGTGGGCCAGCAAGAGCCAAGGCCAGGCCCTAGGGAGTGTGTGCAGGCTGGCAGGGAGTGGTGATTTGGTAGGGTGATGCTGTGGACTAGGAGATCTCTGAAATCTCCTACTCTATAGCAGGGGTTACAACCAGTCCACAATTATGATATTACAGCAAGCTGCAGTCACGTGATTGTCATTTACAGTCAGAAGCAATGTCAATGGGAAAGCTGTCAGAGAAGGTTGCAAGTTGATCCTATAAGTTTCTCCTGCCATGGTTTTTTTTTTTCCCCTGAGGAGTCCCTTCATTCAGTATCATCATAATTATGAACGGTTGCTGAATGAGTAGTGGCCCAGAAGAATTATGATTGGAATCAAGCCTCAGAGTCAAATCATAATTGCTGTTCCCTATATTTAGCACCTTGTTTTTGTTTTGCCACATCCAATTCCTTTTATTCAATAAATAGGTGTCAGGTGTCATACACTTCTACAGAATAACAGAACAACAGAATTGAAAGGGACCTTGGAAATCTTTCAAACAAATGATTGTTGAATGTCTTCTTAAAAATCTCCAGTGTTGGTGCACCCACAACATCTGGAGGCAGGTTGTTCTGTTGATTCGTTGTTCAACTGTCAGGAAATTTCTACTTAAGATTAGTTCTCTTCTTGATATAAGATAAATATCTTATACATTATCTCAGGACTACCTTGTAAATGTATGTATGTATGTATGTATGTATGTATCAGTGGTGGGTTTCAAAAGTTTTTAGAACCTCTTCTGTAGGTGTGGCCTTCTTTGTGGGAGTAGCTTGCCAGCCATGTGACCAGGTGGGAGTGGCTTACTAGCCATGTGACCAGGTGGGAGTAGCTTGGCAGTCATGTGACTGGGTGGGCGTGGCCAACTTGTAAAATGTGGTGAAACTCACTTAACAAAGCTCTTGCTTAGCAACCAAAATGTTGGCTCAGAAACTCTGGCATTTGAAGCACGCAAGTCTTAAAGCTGTCAAGTTACAAGACCCTTGCACCCCTAACCCTTTAGAAAAAAAAAACAGGGATGTTCAAACTTGACAGCTTTAAGACTT